TGAGGCTGGCTTGACCAGGTGGCCACTGAAGGTGATGTAGAGGTTGCCGTGCTCACCGCAGATGGCACTGTCATGATCCCGCTGGAACATGCGCACCCAGACGGGGTCCCCGGCGGCCAGCAGGCTCTGGATCTGCATGGTGCTGCGCTCGCTGGTTGCACATGATATGCAGGTACGTCTCCTTGTAGTTCCAGGTGTACATGTTGAGGCTCAGGAGGCACACGCCTGAGTACAGGTGCAGAGAAAGCAGCCTGCCGGAGGCTGAAAGTACCGTCCAGGTTCACCAGCTCCGTGTCAAAGGACACAGCCTGGCAGGTGTCGGCACTGTGCAGGCCCTCACACCAGCCCACTGAGAAGGCCCAGTAGATGTGCTGGCACGTGGCACCCGGCAGCCCCACCTGCCCCTTCTGGCCCTGTGGCCCCAGAAGCCCTGGGAGCCTGGGGGACCCTCCTTCCCACTCCTGCCAGAGCGACCTCTGACCCCTGCCTTGGAAGTAAGTGGAAGTCACTGGCCACAGCTCAGGACCCAGGGTCAGACACACCAGCGTGCATGTGGCCCCACCTCTCCTGAGCCTCGGCATCTGTAAGGCAGGGCTTCCCCTCACACAGGGCAAAGAGAGCTGCACCCCAAAGCGTGGTCATTCTGGGGCCTGTGTGGGCTGTCACCTGGGGGCACTGGGGACAGCAGGGGCCCAGGCAGCTGCTACTCACCCTGGGCTTTGAAGGACCAGAGGGCTGGAAAGCCGGCACCAAAGGCCCGCCTCATGCAGCCGTCCAGCCAGGCCTCCGGCAGGGGGTCCCTTTGGAACTGGCCTGCTCGCAGGGGGCATGCCCCCCCAGGGACCTCCACGGGCCTAGGAGGGAAGCCGGGAGCAGGCAAGCAGGGCCCCTCCATCTTCCCACCTGAGGGGGCACCTGGGGGCTGGCAGCCCTACCAGCCTGTCAGGAGCAGCCCTGGCCCTGGGTGCCCTTCCCGAGTGGCTCTGCCCAATCAGGGCCTCGGGTTTGGCTTGATGTCTTGCAGTGTATACGGTGTCCCTGTGGGGACAGGGCTGGGGAGCCAGCTCTCCACAGACACTCACCATGTGGCCCCCAACCCTGAGGTGGGAAAGGTGGTCTTTAACCCCAGACCTGGGCCTCCTGGCTCCACCTCTCCCCACCCAGGAGGTCTGTGGGTGGGGGCACCCTTCTCGGCTCAGCCGGCAGCTGCTGGGGGCGGGCCCTGGGTGAGCCCCAAATGTGCCCGGGCGTCAGTCTCCCCTGGCTTGTGGGGCCTGCCTATCTTGGTCTCCCCGGGGCGGGGCTGAATCCAGGAGGCTCAGCCAGGGCTGGTCCCTTGCAAGGGCGGGAGCGTAAGGTCAGGGTCCTCACTCTTTTCTGAGCCCAGCCCTGCCAAAAGAGACACTGGCCTTCTCCTCCAGGAAGCCCCTGGGGATGCAGCCGGGACAAGGTCTTTCCCCTTGCACAGGGGGTCTGAGACCCTCTCCCAGACCGAGCGTCCCTGGCAGGTGGGACCCCTTCTCTCCACCACCTCCCCTGTGGAGCCCAGCAGACCCTAACGGGCACCCCAAGCTGCAGTGGATCTGCAAGGCCCTCCTGGAATCCCCCGTGGAGGCACCTGACAGAGCAGGTGTCTGCAGAGGACCCGGGATCCTGCCCCACAGGCAGGTCTGCACCGCGGAGGCCCACCTCACCCTGAACATCTGGGGCCCCCCCAGAGCCCTCTGGGCTGAAGCCTCCCTCCTCACAGCACCTCGGGGAGACCCCCACCCACCTCCACGCCCCCTTACCATCTCATGGCCTCGTGCGGCTGCCTGCCTGGCCATCTGGGCATCACTGCCCTAGTGGCTGTGAAAGGGCCCGTTCACGCCCGCCCCAGGTGCCTGTGGCTTCCCCTGGGTTGTCCAAGTCCAACAGGCCCGGGATCAGCTCCAGAGCTCTGGAGCAGGAGGCTCGCAGGGCCCTCCTGCCGGTCATGGGTCTGGGGACCGGGGGCTGGCGCTGTGGGCTGGTCACCATCCTCTGTTGGGGGCACATGATCTGGGGGCAGTGGGGGAGGCCTCACTGTGGCTGGGTGGAGACTGGGGAGGGGGCCAGAAGCCGAGGTGGGGGACAGACCCGGTGCCTGTGCTGGACCCACAAGTGATGGAGATGGTGATGCCCCTGGTCTCTGGCTGGGGACGGCAGCATCTGGCCAGGCCTTGGTGCCCCGTTGCCCAGCACCCAGGGTCACTGCCCAGTGGAGCGAGAGGCCTGCTGTGACCCCACGGGGGGCCCCGCTGGACCCAACTGTTCATGGAGTAAAGGCTGTGATGTCTGTGGGAATGAGTCACGGGCCTCCAGGTGGCAGTGGGAGGGGTGGGGCGCTGAGCCCACTGTGCCCAGGAAGCTGAGCCACCCCAGGGCCTGGGCCTGTCCCTGCTCCAGGTCTGGAAAGCTGAGTATAGGGTCCAGGGCAGGGCCAGGCCCCTCAGCCTCTGGACACGGGGATGCGTGATTCTGGGAAGCATCCCCCACCAAGACAGGCCGTCTGTGGGGAGGGCCAGACATGGCCTGGGAGACTGTGGTCACCTTGCCTGAGGTGCCCCCACCCGGCCTCCTCACTGATGACCGGGAAGGGCCAAGGACGCCAGGAGAGGGGCAGACTGAGGAGCCCCCTGCCCCCGTGCCAGGCCGAGGGGAGTGGTGGTGAGGGCTGTGGGTGGAGCCGCATGACCCCTGGAAGGTGGCAGCCCCTTTTGGGGACAACTGCCTTCACCCCTCAGTGGTGGGCAGCACAGAGGGAGGGTGTGTGAAGCTCTGAGGCCCTGTGGCCCCTGTGCCTCATCAGCCCGCAGCCCACTGGGTGCGGGTCTTGCTCAGCAGGTGCCACCCAGGGGCAGGTGGCCCAGGCTCCTACTCTCGGTGTCACATCCCTGCTGAGCAGGAGCCTGTGGAACCAGGATGGGCAGCTGAGCGGAGGTGGTCTGAGCGAGGTGACTCAGCAGGTGGCAGAGGACCTGGACAGAAATAGCCTCAGTGCCGCCACGTGCCCATCATCTCCATGACGACAGAAGTGTGGCAGAGCATCGTCCTGTGGGGTCAGCGGCCCACGGGGGCCACAGTGTCACTCTAGGGCCCCTCTGCCCCTCGCTGCCCCCAGGGAGGCCACTATCTCCCACAATCTGAGCCTACATTTGGTGGGGGTGGGACCCTGGTGGGACCCTGTGGTCCGCCTGAGGTGGGCGCGCTCGGAGCGTGCCCAGACCTCACTGGAGCTCGTCTAGGTGGGCAGTCCCGGGGACTGGCGATGGCTCTGCAGCCAGGCACACTGGCATCATCGCTGACAGTGACAGTGACCGCGTGGCCTGGCGGGGATGCCCTACGCACAAAGACACGGGGGCGTTTGCATGGAAGCCAAGGCAGCCTGGCGTGGCAGGAAGGTGGTGAGGGGGTGGCACTCTGCGCAGGTCCCTCTAGAGCCTTCCATCCCTAGCCCCAGCACGTGTGTGTCCTCACCTCCCGCGGGCCCACCCGGTCAGGTCACCCGTTGCCACAGCACCTGTGGGCCGCCCCCCAGGGGAGAAGCACCCTCCTCTGGTCCACAGCTGACCCTCCTCCAGGGCCTGGCCAGGAAGAGCAGGGTCAGGACTCAGGGAAGCTGGCTGGGCAGCGGGGGTCCTCAGATCTGTCCTGGGGGTGGGGCAGCATGGGCTCAGGGCCCCCACGTGTGGTAATGAGACCTATCTCGGTGGCTACGGGGCCTGAACGTGTGGTGTGCTTTAATGACGTCTGGCTGGGTCCAATGGGGTTTCACTGCTGGTGGCAGCTGGCCAGCCTGGGGGTGCACATAGTGGTCTCTCTCCAAGCCCCCCAGAGAGACGCAGCCTCGGGAATTCGCCGTGTGACCAGGAGCCTCCTTCAGCTCCGAGGCCAGATCATTTGCCCCTGTGAGCCCCCCAGGGCGCCGTGCGACATGACAGTCAGCGAGCACCCGGCCGGCACCTCCCGGGGACAGAGCCTGCTGCCCACCCCCACTCCCGGCCTGGTGCCACCAGCCATGCTTTAGAGATAATGAGCTTTGCAATGTGCTGCACTCAGCTCCCCATCAGCTGCTACCACTGTGGTGGGGGGGCTGGGAAGACGATGGGGACACTGCTGGTGCTTGATAACGGGGGCTGAGCGGCAGGTGTGCATGCAGTGCAGGGGGGCTGTTATCCCCCAGCATTCTCATGGGCCCTTCAGAGCCCTGTTGGTGAACTGGCTGCTGCCAGTGAGCTGACAGCAGCAGGGAGCTCTTCTGAAGGGCGGGGGGCACAGCCAGGGCCTCACCCCCACCCGTCCCTCCACTGAAGGGCCTCCTGGCAGGGGCCCCCGGTGCTGTGCCCGCGGGGATGCAGCCAGGCCCAGAGCTGTGAACACAGTGTGCCAGGTGGTGTGGGACCGTGCGGGCAGACCGTGCTGGCTTCCACCCACCCCCACCACAGCCGGACTCACCCACTGGCTGAGGAGGGGGCCAGGCCCCCCGAGGCAGCCAGGGGGGCTGGGGGTGGAGTCCCTCAGCCCAGGTCCCATGCGGGGGTGGTAGGAAGGGGCCCTGGGGGTGTCCTGGGCAGTTGCTGCCCCAGGCCCTGCCTGGCGCCCTCAAGGGGCTCTGGGACGCTGCGTGGATGCCCAAGGTGCCGGAGGGAAGCCTCTCAGGGCAAAGCCGCTGCCTCGTGACACAGTGTCCCCGAAGCACAGAGGGAAGGCCAGGGCTTTAATGGCCACTGGGTGGCAGGCGGGGTGCCTTTTGCGCCCCCTCTGAAGCTTCCCGCGGGTGGCCCGGGTGTGTGGAGAAACCTGTCCATGCCTGGGGGCCGGCAGCCCGGTCAGCAGTGAGCAGAGCGGGGGCGCCACGTCCTTGGCTGACGCCCCCGTGGGTAACGGGTGCTCCAGGCAGGGGGAGCTGCCCGCACAGAGCTGTGACCCCTCCCCTCCCACGACTGCCCAGGGCTCCACCCTGAAGCACATGCCGGGCAGGAAGCTAATGGGCTTTATTGGGGGGGTTACTGGTAGCCAGCCAGCTGCAGGACGGAAGAGTAGCGGGTGCGGTGGGCCATGCACTTCTGACGGTCGATGAACAGGCTGTTGGTCTTCACGGCGATGTCCTTCTCCAGGCTCATGCGCGTGTCCTCCAGGTTGCGCAGGGATTGCTCAGCTTCTAGAAGCTTCTCCCTCAGGGCAGCCAGGGACAAGTTCAGCTCCTCCACCTCACTCACCAGCCTGAGGGGTCGGGGAGACGAGTGGGCCGGGCCTCAGGGCTGGGAGGGCGGCTGGGACCCTGGTGGGGGCCGCAGGGAAGCCGGCCAGCAGTATGGGGAGGGGCCGGCAGGGCCAGGGTGCCCCAGGTGGCCTAGGGACGGCCTAAGGCCCGCTGGGGAGGGCCCGCCGTGCCCCCCGGTGGAACCCTGAAGGGCCGGAGGAGAGCCCGAAGGGCACCGCGCTGGGCCTGAGCGGGGACCTCCACCAGCCGACCCAGGGGAGCCTGTGTCCGCAGGACTGCAGGCCCGCGCCCCACATCGACACCGTGTGGCCGCGACCAGCAATGGCGGTGGTGCGCTGGGGGCCCTGACACCTAAGTGCCGGGCGGGAGGGAGACGTGCAGGTGTGTGGGGGGAGGCCCGGTCTTCCCTCGTGTGCAGGGCTGTGCGTGGGTGGGCGCGGGGTTCACGGGGGCCCCAGAGTCGAGGGAGGCGCCGAAGCGGGCGTACGAGGGGGCGGTGGCCCCGCCAACCCCAGGGCACCTGAACTGGGCGTTGTCCCGGCAGAGCTCCACGTTGGGCCGGTGGGAGCGCTGGTACAGACGGGTCTGGGCCACCTTGAGAGGCGCCTCCTTGTCCGTGATGGCCTGCTTCAGCGCCGCGACGTTGCGCTCCTGGTCCGCGATCTCCCGCAGCGTCTGCACACAGGGCGGTGCGTGGGTGCCCGCGTGTGCCCCGCCCCACCCCAGCGTTCGGGGTGGGCCTCCCCCGAGCTCTGTGCCCAGTCTCTGGCGGCCATGGAGGCAGGAGGAGGTGCAGCGCCACCTCGGCCCTCACGGGGCACCAGGGCACTTAGGTGGGACCAGGCCCCCAGCCCTGCCCAAGGATCAGTCGCTCGGAGGAAGCAAAGGCCGCCCCGAGAGCCCAGGGTCAGAGCGCTGCCAGGCCCGGGCCGCCTTCCTGCTCGCACCCGGCTGTGCCTCCTGTCAGTCATTCAGCTGGCAATGCCTGTGGACCCCGCCAAGGTCACCCGGCTTCTCGCCAGCTTAGGGAGGGCAGGGGGAGGGCGGAAGGGGGTTGCCCTGCTTCTGGGGTCCCTCCAGACGGGCACGGCGCAGGGGCCAGTCCAGGTCGTGACCAGGTAGTGCCCAGGGGCGCAACTGGCCACAAGGGGCCTGCCTGGTCTCTCTCCGTGGTTAAGGGCGCCCAGACCGTGGCGCGGCGTGGGCGTGGCCCAGGCGGGAGGGGCGGGCCCACCTTGTGCAGGTGTTGCTCCAGCTTGTGGAGCGTGTCCTCCAGCTCCTCGCAGCGGCGCTCAAAGGCCAGGTTCACGGCGTCGCGCTGCAGCCGCAGGTCCTCAGCAGTGTCCCGCAAGATGCAGTCGATGAGCTCCCTCAGGTTGACCGAGGCCAGGCGCTCGCGCTCGGCGCGGTGCAGGTTTTCCTGGGTGAACTTGGCCCACGTCTCGGGCGTGGAGGCGCTGGGCCGGGAGCGCGCGGGCAGCACGGGCGGCGCGGTCGGTGCGGATGCTTGCCAACGGCTCCCGCCCACCTGGCCCTTCCCGCGCCGCCTGCGCCCTGTGACCTCTGCCCCCCAGAACAGACCAGAACTTCTCCCAGCCCCAGCGCCTCCCCGCAAACCCCGCACCCAGCGCGACCCTGCATCCCCAGCTCGGTCTCGCGCCGCTGAGTCCCCTGTGACTCCTCGCCCCGCCCCCTCGGCCCACCCAGGCTGCTCTGCGATAGACGGTGGTCGCACGCCCCCTGCAGGTCAGCGTCCTGTCCCCACCGCCCCCACTCTGCGCAGCCGCCGGCTCCTCTGGCGAACTGTGTGGTGCTGGGCATGCGGGCAGGGGTCTTGCTCGCCTGTCCACCCCGGGACCAGAAGACCTGTACCAGGGTCACCTGCACTAGAACCTCGGGGGCCGGGGGGGCTGGCAGGCTGTGGGAAAGCGAGGGTGCAGGCAGGAGCCAGGGAGCTCCGGAGGGCCCCTGGGGCGGCTGGGGCCGGGCGCCCACCTCTCCTGGAGCCTGGTGGAGTGCGGGTAGACCCGCACCTGGGCGCTCTGGTTGTGGTAGCCGGCGCAGGTCTCGTCGATGGCGTACGCCTCCACCTTGTCAGACCAGTCCATCTCGCAGGTCTCCTTGTGCCCCCGGTTCAGCCTGGGGGCGGGCAGGGCCTGTGTTTGTGTGGAGGGGAGCACTGCGCCGGTGAGAGCCCCTCAGCACCTAGCACACCTCCGGTTCCCAGATGGGAGTGAGGCTGCCTCAACTGCCCAGTGTGGGGCCACTCGGCCGCCCTGGCCAGCAGCGTCCAGGAGCAGCTCCCCCCAGCCCTGGGATCTGGACACCCAGGCCCCGGACCCTGCAGGAATCTGCCACCCCCCACCTGGGGCCCCCGTTTGGCAGTGATCTGGGACAAGCCCCCATCTCTCCGGGCCTCAGGGCTGGGTTGCTCCGACTTCCTGCCCAGAGCCAGGGGAGGGGTGGGGGGCCGGGGTCGTTCTGAGGAGAGTCCTGAGGCCACGCAGACCCACCGGATCTGGTTCACAGCCTGCATGATGGTCCTTTTCAGGAGCTCTTGAATGTTCCGGATGAGCTCAGCTTCCTAGGGGAGGGGACCCCCATCCTTAGCGAGGATGTCATGATGGCTGGGCTGTGCGAACCCAGGCAGCCCCTTAAAACCCAGAGGAACTGAGATTTGGAGAGGTGCCCAGGGGAGCTGGGGGCCTGGCCAGCACCTGACCTCTGCCTGGGTGGCCTCTTGCTGACCCTGTCTCTTTCCTGGAAGGGGTGGGGAGGGTTCCTTGTGGGATGAGAGGGGCTCTGTCCCCATCCCGTCCATGCCCACACTGGCCTGTGTCTGGATTTCCGCCACAGGCATCGGCCTAAGGTGGGCTTAGCCTCCAGGAGCTCAGGGTCGGGCTTAGTCTGCATGACCTGGAGTGACCCGAGGGGCCTCCCAGCAGGTGTAAGCGCCACCAGGACATGACCAAGAGGAGCCGCCAGACAGCACCCATCCCAGACCTCAGGCAGCTGCTCCCAGGGCTCAAGTGAGGTTCCTCCCCATCCTTGGGGGGGTGTAGAGGGGTGTCAGGGCACAAGGGGGCCTAGCCAGGCCCCTCCCTGCCTCAGTGGCCTCTGCTGTCTCATACCCGGGCAGGTGTCCCCAGCCCATGTCCAGGCGTGAATCCTGCCGTGGCTTGGGCCCCTCTCCTCCAAGGCAAGCCCTGATGGTGGTGGGCTTGGGGCCAGCGGACAGCCACAGCTCCCCCAGCACCCACCGTGAGGACCAGGCGGCAGGAAGGGCCCTGAGCCCTGAGCCTGCCCCCAGCAAGGGCCCCCCTGGGTACCCCCAACCTACAGCCAGCCTGCTTCTCTGTGCCAGGAGTGGGCCTGGGCACGTGCTCTACGTGTGCCTGTGTGTCCCTGCATGGGTAGAGGGGTGTGGGCTCCCAGAGCCTCTGTGTAGCCACGTGGTGACGGACACCAAGGTGTGAACCGCGGGGCCCTGCCCGGCTTGGCCCTGGCCCGGCCCCCTGAAGGTACGGGAGGCGGGGTGTGCCGTTTCTGGAAACGGAAGGGGTGGAACCTGGAGCAGCTCCATCTCCACGTGGTCCCGCACGAGGTCGGGGTGCTGGCGGCGTTCGCGGCACTGCAGGTTGTCAGTGGCAATGGAGAAAGGCGCGGCCGTGGCGTCCAGCGCACACTGCAGCCGCTGCTTCTGGGCCAGCAGCAGGTCAGTCTCGGCGACCAGCTCGTCCACCTGCCGCTGCAGCTCCGACTTCCAGCAGTGCGTGTCCTGCAGGCGCTCGCCCACCCTCCTGGTGGAGTCCTCTTGCGTGCACCGCGCCAGCGCCTCCGTCTCGGCCGCCAGCTGCTGGCTCTCGTGCCGCTGCCGCTCCGACTGGTCGCGGTCGGCGAAGGCCTGGTGGTAGCGGGCGTAGCAGTTCTGGAACCACTCGTCCACCAGGTACTTGGCCGTGCGGAAGCCGGCGGTGGCCAGGCCGGAGGACGTATTGGCGCCCGTGTTGCGGGCTACGTCGTACAGCTTGCGAGGCAGCTCGCACGCCGGCACCGTCTGCGGGGCGGGCTGCTTGGTCAGGAGCGCGTCCGTCTGCGCCATGGTGCCGCCGCAGGGAGGAGGGCCCCTCGGCGTGGTCCGCGGCGCAGTTACAGACACCGTGTCCCCAGGAGCCTAGGCGCTCCTCGTCTCCCAGCGACAGGTACACGCCACGCCCTCCTGTTGCTAGGCAACAGGGAACGCCCCCACCCCAGCAGCGGCTCTCTTAAAGGGCCAGGTAGGCCCCGGCCACACCCGCCCTGGCACACGTCTGGCAGCCGCCCTGAACTGCACCTGGGAAGGCGGCCCCAGGCCAGGCCCGGGGACTCCTGCTTGGCTCTGCCCCTAGGCACGCTGGGGTGCAAGAGTCTTTGATGGGGAGTTGAATTCAGCCTCTGGTGAGTACCTGGGGTCAGACACCCAAATCTGCCCCCGTCGGGAGGAGGGCTGGTGGCCCTGCCCTGCACAGGAAGCCAGCCAGCCTGGTTCCCCGGGTGCATCTCCTCCCGCATCCCCAGCGCCTGGGTCGATACCCAACGTGGCAAGAAGAGGGCGCCATTGGCCATAAAATGCCTCATGGCCCAGGGGCGCTGCGGCTCTGGGTTCTTGCCGGCACCGTGCCCTGGTCGCCCCCGTGGGACCCTCCAGGTCTCTTTAGCAGGACATCCCCGGCCCTGGCCTTTAGCACTGGTACCCCTCAGTGTGCTGACAGCAGCGGCCGTGGGACCCAGCATTGACACCACACCCCCGCACACAGTAGGTGCTTCATAGATGGTTTGGGGACAGCAGCTGAGACTTCCGGAACCAGGCTGAGCCAGAGCCCATCCTCGGATTCAGGAGGCCAGGGGACCTCTGTGCCTCGGTTTCCCAAGATGGCAGTGGACATACAGGGCCCATTAAGGGGCAGTCATCGGGCAGACCACCGGCTCCCCCCCCCCCTTTTAATTAGAGCCTGCTTTTCACCTTGGCCAGAGCAAGGCATAGGTGCACAGGATCTGTTCCCCAAGAACCTCCTGGAACACACAGGCTGGAGCCAAGCCCCATGACCCTGGATGACCCTGGGGTGTGGTGGGTGGGCCCCTGAGAGGACGTGGTGCCCGGGTGGGGGCTGTAGCAAGGTGGTCCAGCCAGACTTGACCACATGTCACCCAGGCTGTGCTTGCCACCCTGACAGTGGCACACGCCCACACTTCCTGAGTTCACGGGAGGAAGTGCCCTGGGGAGACTCCTCGGTCGGAATTTGGCCCTGCCTCTCGTGTGGCCGAGCAGGTGGTCCCTGTGAGGACCCTTCTGGGCAGTAGGGTCTCACCGGCCACCATGGCGGCTGCTGTGGGCACAGCCCAAGTGAAGGTGGCTGACCCAGCACCGGGCTGACCAGTGCCCCCATTCCCGCCCCACACAGCCCCCCACCTCACAGGGTCTCTGGGTGTGAATCCGGGCAGGTGGCTGGTGACTGAGGGGTGAGTGGGGGCATGTCAGAGGGCAGAGGGGTGGCTGAGTGGGGGTGGGAGCCTGGGGTTACTTGTTCCCAAAGTGCATTTGCAAAAGCAAACTTGAGTCTGGGGCGACTGCTAGGGACAGGCCCTCCCCCTGCCAGGGCCACTGTGGGGGACACCCCTGCGTGCTCCTCCCTCTGGGTTTGGCCCCTGTTGTGAGCCCTTGCCCAGCCTGCAGCCCAGACCCTGACCTTTCAGGGTAAACTGAGGTGGCAGAGGGCAGGGACGGTGGCATAAGGACAGCCGCCCCTAGGCTCCTGGCTCTCTCGCAGCCCTGTGTGATTTCTCTCCCTTTGAACAGAGGGAGACACTGGGTCACAGAGGCAGCACAGGTGGGAGATGGCAGAATTTGCACGCAGGCCACCGGCTGCCCTGACACATTGCACAGCGTTCCTGGGAAGCCCCTCCCAGGGCAGGCAGGCCCGGGCTCCCCAACTCGGGCCCTCTGCGCCCGTGGCTGGGCCTTCAAACACAGCATCCCCTGCTATGGGCTTGGAGCCAGGCCCCCGGCAGCGCACCTCTGGCAGCCAGTGGCTACAGGAGGCTCGCTGCTCAGACGGCCCTAGGGGCGGGGTTCTGTTCGAGCCCCACACTTCCTCCCTCTGTCAGGACCCGGACCAGGAGGACACACAGTCCAGACGTAGTGGGCCACCCCTAGGGCTGTGGAGGCGGCGGCTGAGGAGGCCCCCTTCCCTGGGGCGGTGCCAGGCCCGGCAGGGATGGCAGTGCGTCAGGGCGGCCGAGGAGACAGGGCGTGAGGATGGCGGGCCGGCTGGGTCTGACGGAGGCTCGGGATGCTCCTGCTCAGCTCTCCTGTGCCCCAGGGCCGTGGGTGGGAGGTGGGGCCTCAGGACTGGATCCTGATCCTGATCCTGGTGCCCACCCAGGAAAGGGCTGGCGAGGAGGCAGGAAGTGTCCTGAGCAGCTGGGAGCCGGACGTGGGCCCTGGGCCTTCACCACCCCGTGGAGCCCCGGCCCTCAGAACCGACTGCACATGCATCCACACTCCACGGTTTCAGAAGAAGCTACAAAACTCCAAAATAGAGTGAGAAGTGTGTCAGCCTCCACTGACGGCACGGAGGGCCCGCCTGGTTCCCGCTAACGGTGAATAAATACAAAGCGGCTTTGCAAGGGAAGTTCTGCCCTGTGAGGTGGAGCAGAGATGGCAGGGCCTGAGGAAGGAGGCCCGGATGAGCCCTCCATCTGCAGAGCAGGGGAACTGGGGGGCAGGGAGGCGGCCCGGGTGGGGTGTCACCTGTAAGCGGGCAGCTGGGATGCCTCTGTGAGAGGGAGGGACCGAGAGGTGCCAGCCTGGGACGTTTGCTGTGGCCACTGCCCTGCTACGGCGGAGTCTCACGCGTATGGGGTTTGCCAGTTTTGCCCTTTAGTACGTGCATAGGCCGTACAGCCGCCACCCCGATGTCGCATCAGGACTTTCTCGCCATCCCAAGGGCAGGTCCTGTGCCCATTAGTAGTCACCCCTGTCCCCCTCCCAGCCCCTGGCATCCGCCAGTTCACATTCTGTCATGAATTTACCTGCTCTGGACCTTTCACATGAATGGAATCACACAACCCGTGGCTTCTCGTGTCCGGCCTCTCCCGCTGAGCACTGTGTCTTCTCGGTTCATCCAGGCGCCAGCACGTCAGGGTCTCATCCTGTCTGCAGCCAAGGCCATTCCGCTTGGACGGACCACGGCGCACCTCTCACCCAGTGAGGGGCGTGGGCCACAGTGAGAGGGCCCTTGGGGCGTGGCACCCAGCTCCTCTGAGCACCATGTTCAGGTCCTGGGGGTATGTTGTTCTGTCATGACCCAGACGCCACTCCAACTATCTCAGGCCACAACTAACTGAATCAGGGAAGTGAAAACGTGGCGACACAGGGAGGGCCCTCAAGCCGGCCCCTCTTGTTGTCTCAGAAACAACAAGAACCTGAGGACCACCCGCCACTGTGTGCCCTGCAAGGGGGGAGCGTGACGGAAGCTGGAGACCCAGCACGGGCAGGGCTGGCCGGCACTGCACGCTTCTGGCCTGGGGCCAGCCCTCCACGTGCCATCCAGGGGCCTGGCCACCTGCCCCACAGAGCAGCAGGGGGGTCAGGGGCGCCAAGCAGCTGGTGGAGCAGCCACCGTCCCTGCCAGGTGCCTCCTAGCCAATGCCTGGGGCTCGGGCCCCATCTGCCAATGGGCTCCTGGCTCCTGCGGAGCATGTCCCTGCCAGCATTGGGGGTTTAAGGAGACCTTGGTGCGGGCACTTCAGAAAGGAGCTGCCTCGGGCCCATAGGCTCCACGGGGCTCGGGGGGGGGGTGCCCCACAGCCACTGCCATGCTCTGTGCCTGGAGTCATTTGTTAGTAGGGCCAGCGGGCAGGCCCTGAGATCTGGGGCACCTGTGGTTCCATGCTCCTGATGGGGGCACCTGACCCCCGCTTGGCCCAGGACCTAGCATGGCCCTCAAGAGCCAGAACAATGGGTTTTCTTATCTCAGCTGGACCCAGGCCCCAAGTGGCCCCACACCCTGTGCTCAGCAGCAGGCCATGGCCTCCGCCCCTGGCACAGGGTCCCAGCAGGCTAGGAGCCAGGTAAGGCTGTGTGCCCACTGTGGCTGAAAACGTGGGAGAGGGGCCCCAGTGACTTGAGTCTCTCAAGGTAGAGCATTCCAGAGTCAGTGCTGGGCTGCATCTGCCCTGCCCCTGCCAGGCATTCTGTCAGGGCACCTGCCAGGTGACCCGCGACACTCCACGTCCCCAAATGAGGATGGCATGGGGCAGGGCCTTGGACAGCCCATGGGGACCTGGGGAGCCCCGGAGGCGACCACATGTCTGTTTCTACACCAAAACCTGGCCCATCCTGCCTGACTGAGGCTCAGCTGGGACCTGTCATCAGGCTTCATCACACCCACAGCCACACTGGCCATTCACACTCATGCCCGCCCCATCCTGGGACGCCCTCAGCCCTACTTCCTGGTAGCTCACCCCTCCTCCAGGAAGCCTGCCCTGATTGCTTCACACAGTCTCCATACTGAATCATCCTCCTGCTGTCCCAAGTGCACACCCCAGCACCCACAGGCCTTTGCTGAGAGTAAAAGGGACTCAGGCCAGCTAAGGAGATGCAAGAATGCCGCTTGAGGAGTGTGCAAGGCAGNCGGGGAGACGAGTGGGCCGGGCCTCAGGGCTGGGAGGGCGGCTGGGACCCTGGTGGGGGCCGCAGGGAAGCCGGCCAGCAGTATGGGGAGGGGCCGGCAGGGCCAGGGTGCCCCAGGTGGCCTAGGGACGGCCTAAGGCCCGCTGGGGAGGGCCCGCCGTGCCCCCCGGTGGAACCCTGAAGGGCCGGAGGAGAGCCCGAAGGGCACCGCGCTGGGCCTGAGCGGGGACCTCCACCAGCCGACCCAGGGGAGCCTGTGTCCGCAGGACTGCAGGCCCGCGCCCCACAGCGACACCGTGTGGCCGCGACCAGCAATGGCGGTGGTGCGCTGGGGGCCCTGACACCTAAGTGCCGGGCGGGAGGGAGACGTGCAGGTGTGTGGGGGGAGGCCCGGTCTTCCCTCGTGTGCAGGGCTGTGCGTGGGTGGGCGCGGGGTTCACGGGGGCCCCAGAGTCGAGGGAGGCGCCGAAGCGGGCGTACGAGGGGGCGGTGGCCCCGCCAACCCCAGGGCACCTGAACTGGGCGTTGTCCCG